GAATTTTAGTAGAGGTGCGGGAGGGACACGCCAGTTGGCAGGAACCGTATGAATAAGACAAACCAAAGAAAAGGCTGGGGTGGAGAAGTTGAGGGAGCCATCTGAATGGTGGATTCGTGCCATGGGTTGCGGGAGGTAAGTCTGGAAAGGAGACAGAAGCTCAATGTGGAGACTCGAATTCAAGTTCGAGAGTGTAGATTTTTTTTAAACATTAGGTTTTGCTGGGTTTTATTTATTTATTTATTTATTTATTTATTTATTTATTTATTTATTTGATTTTGGAAAGAGAGCATGAGTGGGGGAAGGGGCGGAGAGAATGGGGACAGAGGATCCAAAACTGGCTCCGTGCTGACAGCAGACAGCCGGATTCGGGGCTGAAACTCATGAACCATGAGATCGTGACCTGAGCCAAAGTCGGACACTTAGCCAACTGTGCCACCCAGGCACCCCTCTAGAATTTAGATTTTAAGAAATGTAGGTGACCAAGAAATGCTGAGGTTGTTCAGCAGGAAGGAACGCCATGTGTTAGGTTGCTGTCACATGCTGTGGGATTTTAGAGGCAGGAGAAGAGTAAGTCAGACCTGAAAATAGGTTTTTGCCATCCTATGGGTATGGGAAGAACCCAGGCCGGCATGACTAAAGCAGATTACTGTGGTGTGTATGAATTTCTTGAAATGTTCTCTGTAATTTTGATCTAGTTCACCTGTTCAGCAAATACTGCCCTGTGATGCTCGAAATGCAAGATAATTAGCTGTAGTGGTATATACAACTTTATGTGAGCAGGGACCTCATCATTCACAGAAGTGTAAAAAAGGGACAACAGGGGCACCTGGGTGGCTCAGTCGGTTGAGCGTCCGACTTCGGCTCAGGTCATGATCTCACGGTTTGTGGGTTCGAGCCCCACGTTGGGCTCTGTGCTGACGCTCAGAGCCTGGAGCCTGCTTCGAATTCTGTGTCTCCCTCTCTGTCTCTGCCCCTCCCCTGCTCACGCTCTGTCTCTGTCTCAAAAATAAACATTTTTTAAAAAATGTTTAAAAAAAAGGGACAAGTTATTGATAAATGACTCTTCCAAGAGTCCCCTCAAGAGACTCAGAGCCTACTTGGGGGTGAAGCTCATATATGCAAGGCAGTGCAACATTCATTGGTCTGTTTGCTAATTCAACAAATACTGAGTGAAAGGCCCTGGGTGAGGTCCCAGGAAACTAGCAATGAACAAAAACAGTCCTTCCTCCAGAGAACTTAAATTCGATCAGGTGATAATAAAAGTGGAGAAGAAAACTGGATTTCTGTTACGGTAACACAACCTAAAATGTGAATAACTTAAGATCTAAGCAGGTTCTGGGGAAAAAAGGGCTTCTGTCGTGAAAAGCACACGTAGGGCAGCTACAACATCAAGAGATTTTGGAAGCATAATTTTTTGCTACCTGGGCAGCTGGTGATCATGGTTTCCTGCACACCCCCCACCCAAACAACCAGATAAATAAAGTAAGTAGTTTCTGGGAACCAGAGAAGTAACTAGTTCTAGCTTGAGGGTCAGAGAAGATATACTTGAGGCGCTTGAGATAGGAGGGGAGGGGCTGGCTGGCCATTCGAGCAAGACAGGAAGACCTTGTCACCTAAAGGCTCCAGTGGTGTCCAAGCCCTGCCTATGGTTGGGACAGTGAACTACAGTATCCAGGGAATGGGCTCTGAAGCCAGTGCGCACGGGGTCAGCTCCTGCCTTCCACCACCCCCAGCTGTGGTGGGGCCTTGGGCAAACCACTTAGCCTCTCTGAACCTCAGTTTCCGCATCTATAAACTAGGGGTGATGTTACCTGTGCCTACCTCATAGGATTGTTGTGTAGCTTAAATGAATCAAGCGGTTAATGGCACTGAGCATGTACTTGGGGGATGCTAACCATGATTGACGGTTCAGTTTGGCTGAAACCCAGGCAATGAGGAGCTGTGGGAGCCACGTTGGCCACATGCAGTGGGAGCCGGGTCTAGAAAGGCCTTCAGTGTGACAAACTAGGACACTTAGCCTCCTCCTCTGCAGAGGCTGTCAGAGGAAGATTAGCCTGACTGCAAACGGGCGAGGAGAGTGCGGGGAAATGCGTGCAGGCCGGTGGACTGACCCATGGAGGAGTCAGGGACCCGTCCTGGAACTGGGGCAGTGGCAACAGGGATGGAGAGAGAGTAGCAGACGTGAAAGGATTGTGGAGACCGAAATCGGGCTGGGTGGGGTGGGAGCAGGTGAGTGACGTGTGTGATGTGCCTCGAGGCGGGGAAGGCACAAGGGAGCGGACTTGGGAGGATGGTGGAGTGAGGATGGTTCTGCCCGTGAGGAGCTGCCTCCGGGAGTGACGGAGTGACACCCGGGAGAGGAGATGCAGCCAGCCCGGGGGCTGGGGGTGAGGTTGCAGCTAGAGTGTGCAGGGCAGAGGACACAAGAAGAGCCTTGGGAATGGGTAGGAGCAGTTGAGGGTGAGCAGAGCAGAATATGGGGACATGCTGGGTTAGATGGTGGCAGCGGGGAAACCAGAAGAGGCATCCCTGTGGGCTGACCCTGGAGCAAAGCGCTGGACCCATGAGGCCCTCAGAAGACATTAAGGGTACATGAAAAGACCTGGGAAAGTGTTTGGGACACACAGGAGGCGATAAAGAGGTAGAGAAACAGCAGGCTGGGTAGGGGACGGGGAATAGAGCACAGAAGTAGGACCCATCCTTTAAAAATGCTGAGGGGGGGGGGGGGGGGCCCGGGGGGCGCAGTCGGTTAAGCGTCCGACTTCAGCCAGGTCACGATCTTGCGGTCCGTTAGTTCGAGCCCCGCGTCGGGCTCTGGGCTGATGGCTCGGAGCCTGGAGCCTGTTTCCGATTCTATGTCTCCCTCTCTCTCTGCCCCTCCCCTGTTCATGCTCTGTCTCTCTCTGTTCCAAAAATAAATAAATGTTGAAAAAAATTAAAAAAAAAAATGCTGAGGGGGCGCCTGGCTGGCTCAGTCGGTTAAGCGTCCGACTCTCAATTTCGGCTCAGGTCACGATCTCTCAGTGGGTTCAAGCCCTGAGTTGGAATTCTCTCACTCCCTCTCTCTCTGCCCCTCCCCTGCGCTGTCTCCCTCACTCAAAATAAATAAATAAACTTAAATGCTGAGGATTGGGATGCCTGGCTGGCTCAGTGAGTAGAGCATGAGACTCTTGGTCTCAGGTTCGTGCATTCAAGCCCCATGTAAGACGTGGAATAAATAAAGATTTTTTTTTGAAAAGGCTGAGGACAAAAGGGTGAACAAGAATGAAGCGTTCTGCATTCATCCAGCTAGGAGGACCCTTAAGATCTGTACACTTGGCTGCATGTGCACCTCAAGGAACAAATTGGTTCATCTTAAAGGAGAGCACCTCCGGCAGGCCTGGGTGGCTCAGTCCAACGGGTGTTCAACCCTTTGTTGTTGTTGTTGTTGTTTCATTATTTATTTTGAGAGAGACAGAGAAAGTGCGAGCAGGGAAGGGGCAGAGAGAGAGAGAGAGAGAATCCCAAGTAGACTCTGCACAGTGCCCAGAGTCTGACACAGAGCTCGAACTCACAAAACTGTTAGATCATGACCTGAGCCAAAGTTGGAAGCTTAACAGACTGAGCCACCCAGGCGCCCCCCACCTTTTTTCTTGAGGGGGCAGGTGTGCAACTCTCAATTTCATCTCAGGTCATGATCTCTGGGTTAGTGGGTTCAGGCCCCAAGTTGGAATTCTCTCTCTCCCTCTCTCTCTGTCCCTTCCCTGTTCGCTCGCTTTCTTTCTCTCTCTCTCTCAAAATAAATAAGTAAACTTAAAGATTAAGGCCTAGCATGCCTGGCTGGCTCAGTGGGTAGAGCATGTGACTCTTGGTCTCAGGTTCATGAGTTCAAGCCCCATGTAGGGCATGGAGTAAAGGTATTTTTTAAGAGGCTGAGGACAAAAGAATGAACAAGAATGGGGGTCCCTGGGTGGCTCAGTGAGTTAAGCTTCGGACTTCCTGTCAGGTCAAGATTTCATGGTTGGTGGGATCCAGGCCCCAGACCTACCTGCTCAGTATTCACTCTCTCCTGCTCTATGCCCCTTCCCTGCTCATTCTCTGTCTCTGTCTCTCTCTCTCCCCCAAAATAAACAAATAAGCTTCAAAACAAAACAACAAGAAAACATGGTTTAAAAGGAGAGCACCCTCAAGGCAGGGGACTGGAGCCAGGTGGGTCAAACTCTTCCTTCTTGCTGATGTTAAGGGGGGAAGGAGATGAGTTTGTGCAGACTTTGCACATGTCGGAGAGAGAAAACCAAAGAAGAACGTGTCCAAATTCCCTGCGCCCTGGACGCGTGGAAATGGGAGAGGCAAGTTCTCCACTCGGCACGACGGAGAATCAAATCTTTCAGAAGCTCATGGATTTTAATAGTGGATTCTAAACCGTGTGTAACGTTTAAAAATGAGCTCATTCCTTATTTGTATTACTTTTTGGACAAGAGTTTTAAAGAAAGAAAATTATAGGCTGAACATTCTATTTGGCTTTATATATGACTTGCTATGTATGATATATATTTATGACCGGACAGATTTGTTCCTCCTGGTTGTGCATTGCCTGGTGATGGTGAAGATCCCGTGTTTAGGTACCGGTATTTGTGATGGACGCTGTTCTGTGCTCGTTCACTTCCCTACACTACATTTTCCTGACATTCCTGAGTTTTTCGTCCGTTCTGCAGAGGGAGACACGAAGGCTGGAACGGCAGGCTCCACGCACCCGGGCGCCGCTGACTCCCAGCCAATCGCGTCTAGGGGATGGAATGGCAGGGGCCTAAGCCGCAGGCCCCAGTGGCCTAATGGATAAGGCACTGGCCTCCTAAGCCAGGGATTGTGGGTTCGAGTCCCACCTGGGGTAAGGGCACCTTTTTGGCTCTCTCGGCGCCTCGTGCTTTACGCACCCTGGAATCCACGCCCCCGCGGCACGGACGCATGAAAAAGCCTGGAGAAGACCACCCAGCAACTTTTGTACAGCCCACGGGAGGACGGTATGGAGGCGCATTTGGCTTGGAGGCTTAAAGGGGGTGTACAGTGTTTCTGAGGAGGGCGAGGGGTTGACGGAGCGCGGCGACGCAGGCCGCTCCGACCCCCGGATCCCAGCCCTGGAAAACTGCGTGGCAGGAGAAGGTGAGCCCGGCTCCGGGGAGCTCAGGGCCGAGGCGCGTGGAGCCCCTGGGGACCCGGTTGTCGACGTGGAGGGAGGCCAGGGTGCGCGGAGGCGCACGCGTTCCCGGCGCCAAAAGTTCCCGCGGGGAGAGGATGCACAGACCACCCCAGGTGGGACTCGAACCCACAATCCCTGGCTTAGGAGGCCAGTGCCTTATCCATTAGGCCACTGGGGCACGACAACACGCGACGCCCACGTGGTCCGTGGTAACGCGCAGTCGCGCACCCCCCCCCCCAACCCCCCGCGGCGCAACCCGGGGGACCCGAGTAGTCACTAGCCCCCAGCAAAAAAGCTAGAGTCCGAGGCGAGGCGACGGGGCCGTGCTCCGCGGGGACTACCAGGCTCTGGCGGCGCGCAGTTCCACGGAGAGGACCGGGCTTCCCGGAAGGCGCGTGCCGAGCTGCCTCAGGGACCCGGGAGGGGATGAAGAGGGAGACCGAACGAACCCACAAACGAGGCCGAGAGAGGCTGCTATGGCCCGCGCCACCGAAGGACATGAGCCCTGCCCTTCGGTCCAAAAAGAGGCCGACCACGAAGGGACTCGAACCCTCAATCTTCTGATCCGAAGTCAGACGCCTTATCCGTTAGGCCACGCGGCCGCGACGCCCGGGGCGCCACAGTGCGCGGGCCAGGTGCAGCCCCTTCGGAGGTGGAGGCCCCTGGACGTGGGCAGGAGAGGACCGCGTGCTCCCGACCCCCAAGTGTGCCACAGGTGTGCCGGGGTCGGAGTCGGGTGCGGTCCCTCCCTGCAATTAACGACATTAGTAGACAGTGATAGTGCAGCTGTAGATTACTAAATAGGTATCCGGCAGGGCCAAGTACGTGAGGGGACCGCGTGGCCTAATGGATAAGGCGTCTGACTTCGGATCAGAAGATTGAGGGTTCGAGTCCCTTCGTGGTCGAAACGTTTTAATCCATCCGTACCGCAATTAAATCCCAGGGCCTACCCTCGTTTTAGACACAGTCGGGCCTCGGTACCCGGTCCTGACCGCAGCCCCCCTCTCCTAGGCTGAGCATGAGGGTTCCCTTGCTATACGAGTTTTGTACCGGAGAGCTTCCGGCCCTGACGTCATTACGCAGCCACACGGCGTCACAGTTCAAGAGGCATGTGATCGGGCGCCGCTTACGTGAAGCCCCAGTGGCCTAATGGATAAGGCACTGGCCTCCTAAGCCAGGGATTGTGGGTTCGAGTCCCATCTGGGGTGGCAAGATTTACTTGCGCAAGTGCGTTTTCCTGTCATCATGAGTCCGATGAAAACAAGTATCACGTGGGCACAATTTTCTCCTTGTAATAGCACTTTTTTTTTTTGGGGAGTGTGTGGATGCCTCGGTTGCACGTAACGTGCCTTTTGTTTTGATCAAATCCAACTGCACTTTGAAAGATAAATCCATGTGAGAGCGAACACAGCCCACTTCCTTGTTGCCGCGGTTGGTATCCATACACACCTCGTGAAAGTGCTGCGCAGGCTACAGATCCACGTGCGTGTGAGTCCGTCACAGGAAAGTTACAAGCAGCGCAAAAGGCAGCCCCCTGCCCCTCAAACCTCCCGCCGGAGCCGGGGGGTGGGGGCTTGCAGGGTGGGGGTGCTGCCCATTCCCGCGCCCTCAACGCTGTTGAAACGGCACACCTGCCCACTGCCCGGGCTGGGACGAGGAGGGGTGCGCGGAAGCACAGGCGTGCACGCTCAGTGCACAAGGCGACGACAGTGCAGCCTCTGCTATCAGCCCAGGCCCTCAGGTAAAAGGTGGCACTGGAGTGCTTGAAAAGGGGCTGGCGGAGAGAGGTACGTTTATGATCTCCGCACTTTCCTATGTATATGATCCTTTAGTAAAATGCTTAATTAAAAAAAAAAAAAAAAAAAGCCTATTGGCCAGATTTTGTCTTTTGTCTTTTTTTTTTTTTTTTTTTTTTTTTTTTTTTTTTTACTTTGGAGCACACAGGGCAGTGGTTGGTCTTTCCAGGTTGACTCTCACATTATGTGCACTTGGAGGATACCATGTCTACCCGTGGGGGGCGGCTGTAGTGTTCATTAGATTTTCCTAACTCTTTACCCCAAAAAGTTTAAAAACCACCGTTCCTTGTACTTTTCCAAAAGAAACAACAAATTTCCAGAAGTACAGAATCTTCCTCTACTTTCTCCAGGATCATCCAGAATTCTTCATGCCCTCTCTACTCCAAACCAGTCACCAAGTTTTCAGGATGCTTTTTTTTTTTTTTTTTTTTTTTTTTTGAGATTTAAGTAATCTGTACACCCAACGTGGGGCTCGAACTCACAACTCCGAGATCAAGAGTTGCACCCTCTACAGACTGAGCCAGCCAAGCACTCCGTGGATGTTACTTTTAAGCTATCTCTGGCTCCCAGGCCCTTCCACGTGGCTGCAACATCATGGCCCTAGACTGTACCGCTGGAGCCACTGCTTTTTCGCTCTGTTTCAGGCTTCACTTCTAAAACCATCCTCAGGACCCTGACTCCATGGAGCTTACATTCCAGTGAGAGAGAAGGCAGTAAACAAGTAAACTGATGAATAGGATGGTTTCAAAATAAAAGGGGTGATGGGGAACACTTGGTTGAGTACTCAGAGAAGGCCTCCGGGTAGAGAACAGCAAGGGCATCATTGGCAATCCTGTCACCTTCAGGGGACTTCTTTAATGTCTTGGCTGATACACTGTCCACCTCACAGGGTTGTTGTGGGGAGTAAATGAGATGATATTCATGTAAAGTGAGTAGAACGATGCCTGGAGCACAATATGTGCTCTATAAGTCTTGATTGTCACCATTTACTAACAGACTACTTTGCCCCATTATTCAAGGTTTATATGTGATAGGATATTCTCTCAGCTAGATGTGAATCCCTGAAAGCTCAAATTTCATCTTTTCTTTTCCTTCATTCATTATGAATTCATATGAAGATTCTTCTGAATGCCAAGCACAGTGCTAAGCCCTGGGGAATATAGATATGACTAAGGTATAATGCTAGCACTCAACAAAGAATCTTCTAGAATCCTCTAGATCTTTCTAATCCTCTAGAATTGAACATTTCTATGAAATGTTTGCATTATTTTTATCTTCCAACACTCTGTAATCACTTGGTTTTTCATTGGAATTCATGAAAACGAGGAGTTTCTTTCCAAGTGCCTGCATTTTTGTCTTGTTTTGTTATTATAACTTATACTTTGGCTATTAATTGTTGATTTTATGTAACATTTGCTCTGGGATCAGTTTTTTTTTTTAATTTGAAGCGTTCTTTCTTGTCTAACATTATCAGTTTCCAGTTATTTTGTTTGTATGACATAGAATTTAGTATATAAGCTATTAAGTGAGCCTTTTTATTAGTCTGCTATAGTCTTTGTTTTGCAAATGCCAAAAATAGGTGTGTTAAAATCCTTACAAACGTTATACAAATGTTATGCGTCCAGCAATTTTTAAAACTCTTCTTGCTTTATTTTGATGCTTCATATTTTTTTTCAGCACATCAAGGTTCCAATCATTTTTCATGTCTACTGTTCCCTTTAATAATTACATTTGACACATTTCATGTTTTTGTCTTGAATTCTACCTTGCTAGATGGTAATATAAGTCTACATTCTTGCCCATCCTTTAAAAATGTGTATTATGAAATTTTTCAAACATACACAAAACCAGAGAATAGTGCATGAACCACCCTAGAGTTATCAGCCATTAGGATGTTTTCACATTTGCTCCATTAATCCCTTTTTCCCCCTAAAGTGTTGGGGTTTTGTTGGTGTTAAAAATCTCTACACCCAACATGGGGCTTGAACTTACAACCCTGAAATGAAGAGTTGGGTGCTCTACCAACCTAAGCCAGCCAGGAGCCGCTTTTCTCTCTTTTATTTATTTCGAGAGAGAGCGCGAGCACACACATGATCGGGGGAGGGGCAGAGGGAGAGAGAGAATCCCAAGCAGGCTTCCCACTGCCAGCACCAGAGCCCGACTTGGGGCTCAAACCCACGAACCCTGAGATCATGACCCAAGCCGGAACCGAGCCAGATGCTTAACCAACTGAGCCACCCAGGAGCCCCTTAAGTATTTTAAAGTAATCCCAGACATCGTAACATTTCACCACAGTAGACATTCACATATTTCAATATTCATCTCTTGATTGGTGCAAATCAGGATCCAAATAAGGTTATACACCACTTTTGGATGTTGGGTAAGCTGTCCTTACCTTACCCACTGACTTGTTGAAAAGCAAAGGTCAGGGGCGCCTGGGTGGCGCAGTCGGTTAAGCGTCCGACTTCAGCCAGGTCACGATCTCATGGTCCGTGAGTTTGAGCCCCGCGTCGGGCTCTGGGCTGATGGCTCAGAGCCTGGAGCCTGTTTCCGATTCTGTGTCTCCCTCTCTCTCTGCCCCTCCCCTGTTCATGCTCTGTCTCTCTCTGTCCCAAAAATAAATAAACGTTGAAAAAAAAAGAAAAGCAAAGGTCAAATGTCTCATATTTTAGGTTTATCTTTACTTCTTCATGGTGTCATTTAACTTGTTCTTCTATCCTAGATATTTCCTCTTGGTGCACCTGGGTGGTTCAGTTGGTTGAGCATCTGACTCTTGATTTTGGCTTAGGTCACAATCTCACAGTTCAGTTGGTTCTGTTCGTGGGATCAAGCCTCCCGTTGGGCTCTGCACTGACGGTGCAGAGCCTGCTTGGGATTGCACCAGATATTTCTTCTCAATTGGAAGTTAGTTTCAATGCCTCAATTAAATTCAGGTTCAACGTTTGGGGGGGGGGGAAGAACTCTCAAATAGTGCTATGTATTTAATACAGATCAGAAGGTATAGAAGATAGCCTTGGCATCAAGAGGTGACAGCCTGATCATGGTCAAGTTCCTCAACTTTTCATGTAATGGTTTCATCCACTGATGAGCTTTGCCTGAATTAACTATTTCATGATGGATTACAGAATAGTCACTTTTGTAATATTCTTTTCCATTTATTAGCTGAAATATGTTGTAAAAAACTTTCTCTCATTGTCTATTAGTTTATCCCAAATACAGTTGTTTAAAAAGGTAGGATAAATGCTTAATTTTTTCCCCTTCAGTGCCGGTTTTTTGTTTTTTGTTTTTTTTGTTTTTTTTTTTAATGTTTATTTTTGAGAGAGAGAGTGCGCTACCCCCGCAAGCCCTGGGGGGGGCGGGGACAGAGGATCCGAAGCAGGCTCTGTGCTGACAGCAGCCAGCCTGATGTGGGGCTTGAACTCACAAACTGTGAGATCATGACCTGAGCCAAAGTCAGATGCTTGACTGAGCCACCCAGGGACCCCCAGGATGCCAGTTTTTAAATAATGACTTGGAACCTTGATACATCTTTTTTTCTTTTTTTTTTAAGGATGGACAGCTTGTGGTTGGATTTTGGGTTGACCCAGTGTGAAAATTTGCCTCCTAATAGGGGTGTTTACTGACTCATAATTATCCTAAGTATGTTTGATTCTGTATTTATGCTTTTTATTTTTCTTAATGTAAAATATTTTAGAGAGAGTGAGCATGCACATGAATGGGGGAGGTGCAGAGAGAGAGAGAGAGAGAGAGAGAGAGAGAATCTGAAGCAGGCTCCTTGCTCTCAGCACAGAGCCAGGTGCGGGGCATGATCTCCTGGTTCATGAGATCATAGTTCATGACCTGAGCCAAAATCAAGAGTTGGGACGCTTAACAGACTGAGCCACCCTGATGCAACTGTTTTTGCTGATTTCTATCTTTAACTCTTGCTCTTTTTTCTATTGATTTGAAAGATATACTCCTATTTTACTAGTGATTTTTTTTTTTTTTAAGATTTTAAGTTATCTCTACACCCAGTGTGGGGCTTGAACTCACAACCCAAGATCAAGAGTTGCACAGTCCACAAACTGAGCCAGCCAGGTGCCCCCCTAGTGACTAATTTTTCTGTAAAATCAATGTCCACTCAATGCAAAAACTGCAAACCACCCAGGAGGGTATACAATTTAGAAGTGCCCCAATACTATGCAAGTGCCTTGGAAGGAGAGCATGTTCTCAGCAGTTCACTTGTGTCTCTTCCAGTAAGTCTTACAAAGGGTCTCCCCCCAATGCTAGGGACTCCTGTTACAAAACTTCCTGAGTGGGCATCAAGATTCCTTGAAGGGGAGTTCTAACCGCAGTCCAAAAGCAAACTGAACGGCTTTTTCTCAGATCCCCCGTGTTTTCACTCGTCTGAATTCTTCGATATTCAATGGGATGACTCAGCGCCAGTTGAGTGAAGGATTCACAGCGGAAAGCGTGTGGTACTAATTTCTGTTTGGTGCATGAAAGGCCTCTGGCACAGCTACATCACAGACTGTCACGAGAGCAGCTCTTAAGTGGAACACACCTTGCCCCTTAACCTTCTACCTTCAGCATAGTGCCTGCCCCTACGATCGGGGGTGATGGTGCCTAGGCTCTCCTGTTTATGTCCTTTAGGACCACGTCACCTTCTAAGCGCTCCCAGCCATTGCTGCCATTTCTCCAGTACAGCCCGTCTGCAATCTTTGGTAGCAATGTCACAAAACTGTTGGTCTGTGCAGGCTATCCTTCCTCTTCCAGGTTTTTCCTACAGGGCTTAAGCTTCATCCAGTTAGATGCCTCTGCTCAGAACAGCTGCTTACCTAGAAACTTCACATTTAATTCTCATTATAATCCTGATGTTTGTGAATGAGAAGAGGCAAGTCTTAAGATAGTGAATAACTAGTCTAAAACCAGCAATTAAAACAGTCAAAAGAGCAAAGTGGTAGGCATACGACGTCCTCTGACTTCAAGGGTAATAGAAAGCTTTCTACCACCTCACGTTACTTTATTTTTTTCTTAATTTTTTAAAATGTTTAATTTTGAGAGAGAGAGAAGCACACTGCAAGCGGGGGAGGGGCAGAGAAAGACAGAATCAGGAAGAGGCTTCAGGCTCTGAGCTATCAGCACAGAACCCAACATAGGGCTTGAACCCACGAACTGTGAGATCATGACCTGAACTGAAGTGGGATGCCTAACCAGCCAAGGCAGCCATGGTGCCTCTTTTTTTTCCTTTTCCTTTTCCTTTTCCTTTTCCCTTTTCCCTTTCCCCTTTCTTTCCTTCCTTTTCCTTTTCCTTTTCCTTTTCCTCTTTCTTTCTTTCTTTCTCTCTCTCTCTCTCTCTCTCTCTCTCTCTTTCTTTCTTTCTTTCTTTCTTTCTTTAAGTAATCTCTACACCCAACGTGGGGCTCAAAGTCAGGACCCTGAGATCAAGAGTCACATGCTCTGATGGCTAAGCTAGCCAGACACCTGCACCTCACCTTACTAAAAAAAATAAATAAATAAATAATGTTTATTTATTTTTGAGACAGAGAGAGACAGAGCATGAACGGGGGAGGGGCAGAGAAAGAGGGAGACACAGAATCCGAAGCAGGCTCCAGGCTCTGAGCAGTCAGCACAGAGCCCAATGCGGGGCTCGAACTCACAGACCGTGAGATCATGAGCCACCCAGGTGCCTCTGCACCTCACCTTAAACCACCTGGGACACCTGGGTGGCTCAGTCAGTTAAGTGTCCGACTTCAGCTCAGGTCATGGTCTCATGGTTCATGAGTTTGAGCCCCGCACTGGGCTGTGCTGACAGCTCAGAGCCTGGGGCCTGCTTCAGATTCTATGTCTCCCTCTGTTTCTGTTCCTCCCCTGCTCACACTGTCTCCCTCTCCTTCAAAAATAAAAAAATAAAATAAATTTAAACCACATGTATTTCTTGGCACTGCTCAGAAGTCCTGCTAACTAGGATCAATAGGAGTTTTTTTAATGAAATGATGGAATTAAAATAATTTTCTATGTTCAAGCACAAAGCTGTACTACATTTTAACTTTGCAACAAAATTTCCTTTTATCCCACATTTATGGTGAAGAGCTGAAACAGAGGAGATCCCTGCTTGCTACTCACCCTGTTATATCTGCAATATGGACCATCTGTCCTTGTGACTGACTTAGGGACAAGTAGAAGGGAGCACTGCTTAGGAACCAGTGGTTTGAAATCAAAGAGGAAGTTCAAGGGATCAGTAGATGTTTCTTCCTTATTACATTCCAGTGAAATACACTGTCATCAGCCCTACTGTTATTTGTTTTTTGTGGGTTTTTTTGTTTTTCTTTTTTTTCCTATTGTTACTTGTTAAGATTTC